CATTAAATATGATAAATAGGGTCTAAAATTGACACTTCTGGTAACACCGGTAGTAAAGGTCACGTGACTTTGAAATACCAATTTTCATTTACACTTCCATGTCTATATACCTACCAAGTTTAACATCAATCGGTCAAATAGTTCAGTGGGCACCAAGCTTGTTCTAGGATCCTGTCTACTTGGCATCCTCACAGGATGCAACTTCTCACTTCATTGACTTCGCCTTTTGCTATTTAAGTATTCACTTTCTTAGAGTTTTAGGCACTCTCCTGAAGACGGTCAGAGCATACTGACCGGAACGTCGAGTTTATACCTCTGGTTCTTTTCAGAACCATTCTCTTAGTTGAGAAATTATTCGCACATGGTGTTTCCGCAAACCTTTCATTATTAAATAGTTCTATGGTTATAAGACTCTCAAGATTGCCTCATTAAATATTCATGACGTCATAACATGAGAAAAATAAACTGTGTCCGCCGATTATCTCCAGAACCGGGCACCGTATATAGTTGAAAATCGGCGGGTGTATTGCTCGGGATAGCAGAATGTGCAGTGACAAGTTTGAAGTTGTTTGGATCAGCGGTTCTCGAAAAAGCTGCAAAAAAGCAGTATTTTCTGAAGTCTGACGCGCCAGTATATAGCCTAGAACTCCGCGCACTGATGTTCTTTTCAATTGTTTACGTCATGTTAAAGCAAGAGCGCGCGTGCTCAATATGACGCAAACAATGCAAGAAGGACGGGCACGCTCACGTGCATTGTAGGGCGATACCATTGTCCAGTATGGGTGAATAGCACTACATACCATATGTTTCCGTACGTGATGACTGCACGGGCACATGCATTTTGCAGTCGATTGAACCACTATTGTAGTACCAGGTTTTCCGAGTCTATTCTAATGATACATCCTTTCCTATGAACACAACACCAAATCAATATACAACATATATTACCATATATAGGGTACGGCTTGCCAAGGGGCAGTTAACTAGTTGGAGCTGGCTCTTTAATTGTTTAGTTTTAAACAATAATTATACAGATATTCAATGTAATCGTACAAACTCCCGAATAAACCCACTGGATTAAAAACCAGAGATAAAACTCAATGAGCAAAAACTCTGGAAAACCTTGTGGTTGCCAGCAAGACAAAACGTTTCGAACGTTTACATAAAGCTATTTTTTTAAAGCTGATCCATTCTCTGTTTGTTCTTAACTGACCTGAAGTCGCAAGCTAGAATGATCCCCCACGCCTTCGCCTCACACGTTCTACGTACATTCTATGCACGTCTTTCATATTCAAATTTGACACACCCTTTCCACCCTTACACGCACTACCGCCTCGCGGAAATCATTCCTCAACCGATTAGACAAATTTTGCCTGCTATACAACCGTAACGCAGGCAAAGATAAGTACACACAGTGCCGAGTACGGGCTGAGTCAGAGTACTTTTTAGTCAAGTCCTGGGCCAAAAATCCGAGTGCGAGTTTTTCAGAGTCCGAGTACGGGCCGAGTACGGGCCGAGTGCGAGTACAAAGATATCGAGTACATCCCGAGTACATTTTTAAACTGAAGCATTATGGAAATTAGCACAATTACTTACATGTGATATGTAAAGTAATTCCAAGAAATTAACACGTACACATATTAAGAAGTGTTGCTTTTGCTTGGAATTCTGGATTTATTGCGTCGAAGGTGCTTATTGAAGTTGGAAGTTGTTCCAGACTTACCCGAAATCTGAAGCCCACATGACTTGCATACTGCGCTATGCTGATCTGTCTGTTAGCGAAATATTCCTTGTGATCTCTAAACCCCCAAGATATAATTTCTGACGGAGAAGACATGTCTACGTCTGGATCGAACTCGCCGCCATGCGCCAGAGAATGTGACGCGTTTCCAACAAAGAGCGATGTGTACAACCTCTTCCCAACGGATACGATCTTTCCGCGCCTTGTAAGTTAGAGAATGCCTTGTGTGATGAACGCACATGCAGCCCATGGAAAGAAGGTTGCGATTTATTTCGCTGGTATTCTTGTAGTATTCAGTAGGAATAGGACAGTAAAAAAAATGTGCACCAGCGATACTGCGAGCGCTGCCAATAGCCATTCACAAATACTCGATTTAGAGTCGATAAAGAATACAGCGCAATACTTTCATCATTTTCATATACACTCTATGAAATGTTTGGTCAAAGTTTAGTATCGAAAAATTAGTATAAAAAAAATCCCAATTTTCTTTCGAGTACTGCGCGACTGGGATCGAGTTCACCGAGTACAATTTGTCGAGTTAGGGGACGGGTCCGAGTACAAAATAACGAATACGTGCCGAGTACTTAGTTGTTGTTGTTTTTCGAGCACTTATGATCGAGTACGGGTCAACTACTTTTTGGTACTCGAGTTGTACTCGAGTTCGAGTACGAGTACTCCAAAACTGCCTCATGGGGGTGCACATAAGAAGAGAGATGTAAGTTCTCTAAGGTTTTATTTAGGTGATAGTCGTCGCGAAGCATACACAGCCTAGGCATTGGTGGCCGGACTTGTGCCCATTATAATCTGTACGACTGGATGAGGTAGGCCAGCCGGTCGGGTTTCTTGAGGTACCATCTCGTCGTTTAAGCTACGGAAAATCTAGTTTCCTTTTGCCTTCACTGTAATTATGTGGTGTTCCAAGTCAGCCTGACACTTTGAGCAAAGGGCAGTCCAACTTGTCTCGGACTCCATATTCAAAAGCATAGCAAAATTTGGCCAGGCGGTTTCCAAAGATTACGTATTAGCGTAAGTGTATACCGCGGGGTGGGGATGGAAGCCTGTGTCGAGCCCTATATCCTTGTGTCAAGCTCAAAAGCCAAATATTGCGGTGCTGCATGGGGGAATTGGTGACCTTGAGCTGTAATGCATCGTTCAGCAGTAGCCAAGAATTTGCTCAGAAGTGCGGCCTGGGGGCAGTTACAGGTGCAACTTCCCGAGGTTCGTCTCCTGATGAAAGTACGCCAAAGAGGAAGTGCTGACATCAAATGCTATGTAAGATCTGTCAACTCCACAAAATGGCCCAGTAGGATATCTAAGACCAGGTCCATTTAACGATTGTGGGAAACCGAAAACTTCATCGACAGTTTGATATGTTCTTAAGGAGAATTTGAGGCAAACGCGAGGGTTTGCGATACAGCCTTAGCCAGACAAACCATCGTTAAAGACACGTTCAGCTGACCAATGGAATAATATGTATGTATATTGGATGTCACATAGACTTGAAATCAAGTCTGTAATGAGTGGTTTTAATCGCGTCCGCCGCGCGCGACTCGACTGCCAAGCTCTGTGCCGGGGGTACGACGTGGCGCATGCTGTCCTAGTAGCGGGGACGCTACGTACATTTTCGACCCCATGCGTGTGCAATCCCATGCGTGTGCTCTGTGCATGCATTATAAACTTGAATAACTCGTTGTCAGTTTGTGCATAGGCAATGAGACTTGCTACCAAAATTGGACGGAGCAGTCTGATTGGTTAAGAATCAAGAAAATATGAATATTAAACAGGCATCTCTTAGCCGATGCGTTTTGGCTTGCACGACGACACATACAAGTTTACATACACACCTGATTATCGCAGCATGTTAGTGTATAGTCTTCACAAAACATTCTCAATCGCTTACATCGAATTTCTTCGGATTTCCTATCGCCCAACGTTAAAATGGAGGTGTTGGAAGCTAGCACCGAAAGGTATACAGGTTCCATTGACCATGGGTTGCGAAAACTGGGGATTTCCAGTGCTCTGAAACGCCAACAAACTGAGGCAATCACAAGTTTTCTTGACGGCAACGACACCTTCGTGAATCTACCCAGCGGGTACATCCCTAATATACCAGCTAGCCCCTTTCTGTATCGACTTATTTTTACTTGCACAAAATTGCTTTGAAACATGACATTATGGTCACAATTACAAATGTAAAAATAGAGAAACCGCGAACGAATTGTTGTCAGGGTGATCAGTTAAACTACAACAAACCACATGGGCCAAAAGGAGCTTACGTTTACAGTCGGTGCGCACTTTATTTTTTGAAGGGGATTTACAATTATTCGTAACAGTTTCAACTTCCATAATTACTTAAATATTACTCCTTTTTATTCAAAGACAGTTGCAAAAGTACTAATATTATCTACAATGTTAAACTCTGTTTTACTGTAATTTTAAAAATAGGACTGCCAAATCGAATGGAAGCTTCAAATAATCGTGTTATAATTACCCCTATATTTATAATGGATGTTTCTTCGTAAGCCAGATGTGCTACCATTGGCCCTCGCTATGGAAACGTCATGCATATGCATTGCAGTGGCTGCATATATAAATATTCGCTTGAAAACGTCTTAATCAGGTCGTTAGACACAAACTGACCATGCCGCGCGGTAGTACATGACTTTTGCATGAATGATTGTAACGCTCACGTTGCATGAACGGCAGTGGTATGCGGATTCCGGCGCTGATGACGGACATAAACCACTATAGTCTAACGACTTGTCATCAAGTCTAGATGTCACAGAGCAGGCCCACAGCTCAAGTGATTTTAAGCGCAGTGGGAAGAGGCAAAAAGACAGTTTGGGTAACAGCTTCAACAAATTGATACAGGAGAACTGTGATTCCAGTTTTGTATTGTTGATGATAGGTTGGGAAAGCGATATCGTCAAATTTATCATAGACCACGATTCGGAAGGCGGAACCCAGTTCCATGTTATGGGACGCCCCAGCTGTAGAAACACGGAATCCAGGGATGCAGATGTCAACGATACCTTATGGCAGGGAAAGGGGGTGTTGGTCATTGGTCAACTGTGAACGCAGATTAATTATATAGGCAAGAAGAGGCCCGTATAGGTGGACAGTCTCTAACTTGGGGAATCCGTGCATTAAAGTAAAAAGAAAAAAACATCAAAGCAATCAGACTGACAGACTGAGGCACATGTCGCAACCAGACAGCAGTTATTTTATCAGGCGAAGATGCGGTGTTTGCTATGAGAAGACGGTGTATGACGGCTTGCTTCTGGGGGTAGAGCAACGGGTCATTGACTGCGGCAAGTGGGTGCTGGAGTTACATAACCAGCAATCTGCGGCGGACTTCGCCTTAAAGTTCTCCAAACCTTGAGCTCAAACTTCAGGACCGAGAGAGCGTTCCAAGGGACCACGGCACAGTCGTAAACTATATAGCGAATGTAAAACGATGATAAATATAGAATAACACAAGCTCAGGCAAAGACGCGGGCAGTTTGTACCTGTGTTACAACTGATAATGTAGTAACCAACGGATAATGTATCACCAACCGATAATGTCACACAAATTGACTGATACTGTATCACTAACCGATAATGTAACAGAAATTGACCGATAGTGTAGTAAAAATGTTATAGGCTATCAGTCGATTGTTGTTACATTTTCGGTCTTAACCGATAATGTAACAAATATTGACCGATAGCGTAGTACATTTTTACCACACTATCGGTCAATAAAAAAGAAGTAAAGAAACCGGAAATAATCGGCTATTTGCATCGCAGTGGACGTTGAGGGCGCGACTGATGATACATCAGTCGCGATTCTGGCTGAACTTAGTTTTAGGTGGGAGTGGAGCTGGCCGTAAGTTTCAAAGTAGAGAAAAAGACGAAAGAAAAATTCAGAAGCTAAGTCACATAGTGAGAGATGAGGACGTCCTTGTGGGAGGACTTGAATCCGCCCATGCACGATTGAGTCTTTATAGTTCCATCATAGAGTTCCAGAGGCGAGGACCGTGGAATCTCAGTGTCACAGCTGATTCTGATTAAGCATAACTTTTCTAACTATTTTAAGTTTCCACAGCAGGACCATGATTGTCGTTGCAAATTGTACAGTTAATCTTTTGTAATCCTAACTTAATCCTCTACACTGGCCAGTAGACTTTTGTTGTTCAGCCAGGGCTTGGTGCTGGAATTTAGTTGGCGTGCTTGAGTGCTTTCCAGTATGCGGTAAATGTGGGTGTTGGCTGATATAAGATGGAGCAAACTGGGTGTGTGTGAGTATTGCTATACATGTTGTTGTTGAGTTAGCACTGTGTTTTGGGAGTGCATGCTGGCGTAGCCATTTTTGGCAGCTTGTGCCATCCCTCGGCCATCAGCATAGAAGTTGCAGTTCTGTGAGGTTCTTGGGTGTGGCTCGGACAAGCATAGGTCAGCGTGACAATTGGACAATCGTAAGTTACCATTTCCTTTTGTTGTTTCTCCATTATTGCTTGAATTATTGGTTATTGAGTATTGGTTGTTGTTGCTTGAACAAGCCTTGAAATATGTGAATATGTTTTCTTTGGAGAAAATACTGGCATCGAGTTGGTTAATTATTTTAATTATAGATGGTCCTTATATGGATGTACCTGAAGTTGATGTACTTGTGATGTACTACCTGGCCCTACTGAAGTTGATGTACTTGTGATGTACTACCTGGCCCTAATAAGTGGTGAATTCTGAGGGTTGGTCCCATGACCGCCGACTTACAACGCCATGTCCCTCTGACTGGATTGGCCCATCTCTGACCTAGACGATGAGAGCGGGATACCTACCGCAGATGTGACAAGCCTTATCAGCAAAACTTCAACAGCATATTGATTTAGAATTGTATAATTTCTTAAAAATACTTTTTGCACTTTGATCACCTGATATATTTACGCACATTTTGAGTGTACCATTTCACATATAATTTAATAATTTGATGCAACTATTTGTCTGGATATGAAGAGCATTAGTTTGTGCATATACTCTTGTGTATTGCTGCACAGGTGCTGTTGTTTGGATGTACATGTATAATTTGTGAATATTGTGTATTGATGTAACCTGTGGTGTCCAGCTACATGTAGCAGTGTTCTTCGACTTAAGGGAATGTAGATTGTTGAATTGGTTTAGTTTAATATTTGTGAGAAAACCCCAGGAACTGTCATTCTATGTGATTTTGATTAAATCGTTGAATTGGATATTGACTTGTAGGTTTTGAATAGGAAAGTTTTAAGCAGCCAGTGATGTTTAGGTGAACACAGAACGGATTGTTAATAGTGTGGATTTATGGATTGAATTGTTAATAGTGTGGATTTATTATCCGGCTTGTTCATAGTGCAGATTTATTGATTGAATTAATAGTGTGGATTTATTGCTAGGCACGTACATATAGATACTGGATGCTGATACTGACCGTAGATATTTGATTGTAGATATTGAATTGGAAGTTTGAATCGGTCAGTTGTATTCGCTGTGAACAACGGAAAGTAGATTGCTAGATATTTTAAACAGTGAATTTTCTTACCTGCTATAATTCCATTGCATAAACTGAATTGATATTTTGAGGTGGTTTTAAATGTACCTATAAGCTGACTATTAATACGATTTCATAACGAAGATTTCCCCTTGACATTTCTGAACGTACGATTTTGATGTTGTGTAAATTTGTCAAATAAATTTGTAATTTGTAAATTCACTCAGCCTGTGAATGGAATATGAAGTGCGGGTGGATGGTAAGAATAGATTGCTTCGGGAACGAGTGCGATGGAAGTGTATGTCGTTTACATGAGTGAAGTAGGAGGAAAAGTTGGAGGGAGAAGATTGTGGATGTATTTAATGAACATGCCAGTGTGTAATAAGTTGGATTCGAGCGAGTTGTAATACTGACGTGACCTGCAAGGACTTTGAACAATCCCCCGGTAGACGGCAACGGATGCGGGAAAAAATGTTTTAAACCTTGTTTATCAACACTTGTAATGTTCTTTATACTCCAAAAACACATAAATAAATGAAAACCCATCAACCCGTTATTTTTATACAAACAGTTTAATGGATTGCTACCTCAGCGTCAATTTGGTCCTAAAAGTCATCTCTTTGAAAGTGATTAAAAGACGGTATTATTTTGTGTTTAAATTTCGCAATTGTCATGCCTGTTTGGCAGTTTATTTTATCGTAAGTATAATGAATGAACTTCACTAAGCGAAGCTTCACTACCCAACGTGGATATACGGACCATAATTCCGTTTACGACGCTTACCAGTCCCACCTTAATTATGCATTTTATTTGACATGGCCGTCAGTGGCACCGTTCAATTACAACGGCCGAAAGTCAAATCAGTGTGCGAGATAAGTGCGGATATGAACTCTGACTACGCATGTGCATCTTTGTGACTATTTCAAGACTTCAGTTTGCGCATTTATACGCGCACTTACAGTTCTAATATTCTTTTTGTCACCTAGGTAAATTGCAACAAAGATCTGAAAAACTTCGTTGGGAAAACCGCACTGCACCTGGCCATCGGCAAGACTAACATGAAGTGTATCGAGGCTCTGGTCAACAATGGTGCCAATGTGAACGCCAAGAATCACGACGGTGAAACCAGTCTTCATCTGATCATGATGAAAATCTCTTTCCATTGTCCCAGTTATCATGAGGAAGAGGTAAATGTTCAGGTTTTTGAAAAATGCGCAAATCTGACTTCTTTCAACGCTTATAGGCCTAACGCATCAGCGGAGTGCTGTGGCCTCATGGTTAAGGGACTGATTCGTGGTCTGTGGGTAAAGCTGCAGGTTGTGGGTTTGAGTCCTGGCGGGGTCATGGTGCGTGTGCCCTTGGGCAAGGCACTTTGTCACTCATTGCTTTTCTCCACCCAGGAGTAAATGGGTACCTGTGAGGGCAGAGATGGTTATGTGATTGATTTAGCTTGCTTGCGCCTAACAGGCAGCATCGAGCTGTATACTCCCCAGGGAGCTGAGATGGTATTTGGAATGTTTAATTGGCCCAATGATCGGGGGTAATAATAATACTGTAAGCGCCGTGATTTAGTTTACTAAAAAGGGCGTTCTTATATGCCGATTATTATTATTATTATTATTATTTCATTCAATAATTCCAGTGTCAAAGCAAATGTTAAGCATTTGCTCTCCTTAGCTTCGCAAGGAGTCTGTTGCATGCTCCTATTGTAAACAACAGTGGTTTTTAGTTTTATAATGTTCAAATCTATTAGGATACTTTGTGCAGAAGGCCGTAAATGATCGCGCCTTTGACATTGACGCTGCGTCAATGCGGCTTACTACATTGGCAAGCATTATTGCAGCAGTATAGTAGTATTTCAAAGTTACGACGTAAAGTTTATACATGTGACATGAGACATGTCACCAATCTGTGAAATTTGATAGCTTTATGGTAGTCTTTCCAATATCAAATGCATATGACAAAATTAGGTGTTGATAGACCACAATGACTTTTTAGTTTCATCAAAATGTTTTCGTTCAATTGTTTAGTTGGTGGAGCATTTTGTCAAGCACCTGGAGAATGAAGGCGGTTCCGACGAAAAATCCAACCTGGTTGCAATAGCGTTATACTTAATTCAAAATGGCGCCGACATCTACATCGAGAATAAAAACGGAGTTGATGTTCTTTTGAGGATTTGTGAATTCCCACAAGTTCAAAATCTAATGAAACGTCTCATCGAATTGAGAAGGTGAGACTGTTGTTATTTTTTTGTTTTTCATTTGCAAACATGTATCCTTCCACAACATCGGCTTTGACCCGATGTCACCGCATCCATGAGTGCTGCGCCTTCATGAGTATTTCGTTTAAGATCTTACAAACCTTTTCCCACCGATTTAAAAGGGCCATGCAATGATTTTTTCTCAGGTTCATTTTGTTGCAACTTTCCAGTGGCGTAGCATGGTCATTTTTATTTCGGGGAGGGGGGTTAGACGTGAAAAGGGACACTTTCATCGTCCGTGCTGAAAGGTAGAAAGAATTTTCGCACTGGTAACCCCGCCTGCGTAAAATCAAACAGTGGGTAAGGGGGGGGGGGGGCTAGGCTAGGACAACATCTTCCTATACGAGTCCGCTGTTAAAATAAGGCGATAATAGGTACTGTCGGGAGAAAAGGGGCACTCGTGAAGAAAGGCCGCTCGTGAAGAAAGGGCACTCGTGAAGAAAGGACACTCGTGATGTCATTCCAGGAAGACACCGTTCAGTTTAGGGGGTTTTCTGTTAAAAAAGGTTAATCCCAGATTTACTCATTAAAAACTGTTGTGAGAAAGGGTTGATAAAGGAGCTTTAACATTGAGGTTTCTGCTCGAAATGACATCCAAGTATTGTACTAAAAAAAATAC